GGCAGACCAAGGAGAACCTTTCTGTCGTTAACTTACGGCACAATAAAGTTCTCAAAGCTGTCATATTCTGGACAAAAAGTTCGAAATGGAAAAATTTTTGAAAAAGTTTCAACGGACTTTAACTTGGACGGACATTAATTGAACGGACTTTATTTGAACGGACATTAAGATGAACGCTAGGGCCTCCAGCGTTCAAGTAATGTCCGTCCAAATAAGGTCCGATAAGGTATATTGTTACTATAGCAAAAAAAGCCGTATATTGTGATTAATTCCTTAGACTTTTAGACTAGCAGAAACAGCTATACAGTAATCTTTTATTTAAAAGCTTTTAAGAGGTGACTTTTGCAATTATTTCATTATTAAAATGGTTAAATTATTTACAATTCAGGATTGAACAGTGCTCTATATTCGGTATCAAGTAACACTGAGAACAGTGTACAATCCTCAGCTCTCTCAATACAGAGGTGAGTGCAGTGTGTAGTTTGCACAACACTTCACTGCATCATAACATGTAACCATAGCTACACTTCCTTATATGGTTATGTAATCATAGCAACACTACATTATATAGTTAGAGTTTGTACCTCCATCCTCTTTTCTACCTGTTGGAGTCAGGAAATTTCACTTTCAAATTAATTGAAATCTGTAAAATATTCGCCATGACTAACAAATACCTGTTACAGAGTTGCTAACACATTTCCCATTTAGCTCGGGTACAACAGAGTCTGATATACTAACATGTGAAGTAAAGTTCAGCGTAGCACATGCAGTAGCTGCAACAGTACCTTTACAGCTACATGTCTATGGTAAGCGTGCAGTATGGTACTTTATTAAAAGCTATATCTTATCATGAGAATATTTTGGCACATTAATATTGATTGACAAATTAGATACAACTTTTCATAATGTATAGATTTGGATTCTGGTGGGAGGTGAAACGTGACAGCACCTAACCAGTCAAACTCCAAAGTCCCTGTCACGTGTCACCAAGACACACTTGTCATGTGTCACCAGGACACATGTCTACTAATGTATGTATTCAGATGTGGAGGCGTCTAGTATGGTCCTGGTACAAGCCCTGTCCCCCACTCAGCTGTATTGTAATGTCTCTAATCTGGACCAGGACAGTTCAGCTGTTATTTGGTGGAAACGGAGCAGCGATAACCAGGAATTTAAGGTATTTAGTAAACACATTCCACAACAGAAGATGTCACTGTCAGTCATAGACTTTTTAAATTTACAAGATTTGCAGGTTATTTCTTCCACATGTTCGACCAACTCTTCCTCAAAACTAAAAATGAGCATTTTCATTTCTTCTAAGATTAGTTCATTCAGGACGAAGAAGGAAACAATGTAGTGACTGGTACTCCAGATAATTCCAACCAAATAAACTATCTTAGTCTAGATTCCACGCTGACTAAGACTGATGATGTTTTTACTTGTTTGGTAGAAGTTACTGAAGGAGAAACTGCTCAGTTTGAAATTGTCTTAAATACATTCAGTAAGTTTTACACTTTTTGATATATAATAATAATAATTTGGTTGACCGCAGTCGGGGAGCCGATTTCCCTGTCTAATTGTATTTCGGCCACGGTCCTTTCGGTACAGATTTCTCTGCAATATAGTCGGGACGCAAACCCAGGCGTATACACTCGTGTTATCTTCGCAGCTCTTATGAAAGCCACTACCATTTACGCCATGGTTTGGTTAGTGACGGCTGCCCTTCAGATTTTGAGATTTTGGCCCAACTGGGATTCGAACTCGCAACCTCCAGGCCAGTAGACAGGCGGATTAACCGACTGAGCCACTGAGCCACTTTTTGATATACTTGAAGACTAAAAAGAAAACAATATGATAACAGAAAACGGTTCACTTGAATAAGAGTCGCAATGAAAAAATATTTTTCCCTATTTTCCTATTGAGTAGCAACAGTCGACACTACCTTATATTGTTATGTAACCACTAGCCATATCAACACTACCGTTTATGGATATGTAACCATAGCAACACTACCTTATATGGTAACTCTCACAGCGGTTACCCCTATGGAGGAACACTCCCACAAAAAGGAGCCTGCTACCTTGTCATGTGTTATAGGAGGGGCTGGGGAACAGTTACTAGTGCAGTGGTCAGATAGTCAGGTGAGATATAATTAGATATAACCAATAGTTAGATATAATGAGATATAACCAATAGTATTAGTTAGCTTTTAATTTCTTCTCAAAAGTTATTTGATTTGACGTTTTTGATTTGTGATTCTGCATGGTTATGATTTAGATATTTGGTATAGGAAAATACTTTTATAAGAATATTGATCTGCTTATATAATGATGGAATAACTCAGGACAATAACTTGGAGGAGGAGGGAGGATACGAAATAGAGCAAGGTACCTTCAGTCAGGACTCCCAAACCTCCGTACTGACAATAAGGTAGTTGATATAGCGAATATTATCTGATTACTTTATTACTATAGTGCACTGATGTAGAACTAGAGATCTCTGACAATTGTAGTAGAGGCCTTACCTGGCACTCCTTATATGGGCATCACGTGTTTCTGTACTTCATACTACAGCTCCCTTTTACTGACACTCTTCCCTCCCAGTGGAGAGCACACTGGAGATGATGGAGAGTACAAGTGTCTTGTGTCCTCTGATGGGGGGGAATCTTTCTACTCTCACTCTGTTCCTCTCAATGTTCTCGGTAAGTTAACCTTTCTACTCTCACTCTGTTCCTCTCAATGTTCTCGGTAAGTTAACCTGTGTAATAACCTGTGTATTGTGTAATAACCTGTGGAATAACCTGTGTAATAACCTGTGTAATTACCTGTGTAATAAACTGTGTAGTAACCTGTGTAGTAACCTGTGTAGTAACCTGTGTAGTAACCTGTGTAGTAACCTGTGTAGTAACCTGTGTAGTAACCTGTGTAATAACCTGTGTAATAACCTGTGTAATAACCTGTGTAGTAACCTGTGTGAAGTGTCATTAAAAGTGTCACTAAAAGTAAGTCTGCCATTTATGATTAAACTTCTGTCAGTAAGTGAAGCTCAACCACTGCTAGAAGTAGACTTTCTTTGATCCACGGTAATGAATATAATAAGGAACACCAATGATGTGCAATTTATAATTATCACGTGCAAAATAAAGAGCACGTGCCCCGCTCAGATTCTAGCAATTATATATAGTTATATAAACCACTATATACTTATTACTATTTATGTTACTCTGAGACAGCTGCATCGTATCTTTGAACCGATCTGAATAAGCTGTCTTACTTATTGTGCGTGATAACGCCTCATCCACACGTGATAACGCCTCCTCCTAACACGCACCACATGGTAACTCATTGTTTGTTTGAGACCCTCCAATTTATCTCAGACGGCCCTTATCAATTATAAGAGCCAGTCTACTTTGAATAGATTTAGGAGTTGACACGTGCTCCTTTTATTTTACAGTCACGTGCCTATTTGTCTTATTGTGTAATATTGTGTCTCCGTCGTAAGTCGTAACCTTGGCATCACTTGTAGCTCTCTTGATTATTTATAATCTTGTTTATCGACAATGTAGGACAAATTTAACAAAAAAATTAGCAGCAATTAAGAAAACATCCCGGTTTGGTCCGTCCGGATATCCGGCATTTATATCCGGTCCGGTTTCCAAGAATTTTGCCGGATATTCAACCGGAAATTTCTTTTATAAATGTTCCTGAAATGCATATTATGGTCTAAATTTTTGCTAAATGGCATCCAGTCAGTGCTCTCAGTGACCAGTGAATTTATGATATCTTGTTATCTGTCAGCGAATGTTAAAGACGCGTGAGAATGTTAGATTTTGTGTAACACAAAGCTACCAAGATCGATGACAAAACTTTATTTATGAGCATTGCAAGAAGAGGGTTCCTTCTTTATTGTGGCAAGCAAACTCGTTACTAACTCCCCTTATACCAAGGATTAAAACAAAGGTCATTATGCTATTAAACAGCTATGAGGATTATTTTCGGGAACATAAACGCCACGATCTTGTGAAGTTGTGAGAGCTGCAGATTTTGGGCTTTACTTCTAAAATTTGTACATTTGTGCTACGCAAATGGGTACTCAATTGTTCTAACTTGTTAAATTATTCGTACTCTTTAACAGTTTAACAAAGAAAGGGACAATCAACAAACTAGTTGCAAAACACTACTACAGCTAGTAGTAGTAGTATAGTAGCTAGTAGTAGTATAGTAGCTAGTAATAGTAGTATTTAGTATAGTATAGTATAGTTATATAGTAGTAGCAGATCACAAGTTATTGGTAATCGTCTAAGATAGCAGTTGTTGTATATTCATAGCTACTGTAAAGAATAGAGGACTAATTTTAGTATCTGTGTAATATAAATACCTGCGAATCAAATGTTTATGTAGAGGGGTAAAGTTAGCATAGTAAAGGTATTTACTATTGATGGACTCAGAACTTTATTAACAATTTTTACCTGTTAACTTCTTTTTCCACGCTGTAGAACCACTAATAACCCCGTAGTACCCACGTGGTTACCCACGTAGTTAACCACGGGCCACGTAGTACTCACGTAGTTACCCAGGTAGTTACCTACGTAGTTACCCACGTAGTTACCCACGTGGTTACCCACGTAGTTACCCACGTAGTACTCACGTAGTTACCCACGTATTCACCCGAGTAGTACCCACGTAGTACCCACGTAGTTACCCACGTAGTTACCCACGTAGTTACCCACGTAGTTACCCACGTAGTTACCCACGTAGTTACCCACGTAGTTACCCACGGGCCACGTAGTACTCACGTAGTTACCTACGTAGTTACCCACGTAGTTACCCACGGGCCACGTAGTACTCACGTAGTTACCCACGTAGTACCCACGTGGTTACCTACGTAGTTACCCACGTAGTTACCCACGTAGTTACCCACGTAGTTACCCACGTAGTTACCCACGTAGTTACCCACGTAGTTACCCACGTAGTTACCCACGTAGTACTTACGTAGTTACCTACGTAGTTACCCACGTAGTTACCCACGGGCCACGTAGTACTCACGTAGTTACCTACGTAGTTACCCACGTAGTTACCCACGGGCCACGTAGTACTCATGTAGTTACCTACGTAGTTACCCACGTAGTTACCCACGGGCCACGTAGTACTCACGTAGTTACCCACGTAGTACTCACGTAGTTACCTACGTAGTTACCCACGTAGTTACCCACGGGCCACGTAGTACTCACGTAGTTACCTACGTAGTTACCCACGTAGTTACCCACGGGCCACGTAGTACTCACGTAGTTACCCACGTAGTACTCACGTAGTTACCCACGGGCCACGTAGTACTCACGTAGTTACCTACGTAGTTACCCACGTAGTTACCCACGGGCCACGTAGTACTCACGTAGTTACCCACGTAGTACTCACGTAGTTACCTACGTAGTTACCCACGTAGTTACCCACGGGCCACGTAGTACTCACGTCGTTACCTACGTAGTTACCCACGTAGTTACCCACGGGCCACGTAGTACTCACGTAGTTACCTACGTAGTTACCCACGTAGTTACCCACGGGCCACGTAGTACTCACGTAGTTACCCACGTAGTACTCACGTAGTTACCTACGTAGTTACCCACGTAGTTACCCACGGGCCACGTAGTACTCACGTAGTTACCTACGTAGTTACCCACTTAGTTACCCACGGGCCACGTAGTACTCACGTAGTTACCTACGTAGTACTCACGTAGTTACCTACGTAGTTACCCACTTAGTTACCCACGGGCCACGTAGTACTCACGCAGTTACCCACGTAGTACTCACGTAGTTACCTACGTAGTTACCCACGTAGTTACCCACGGGCCACGTAGTACTCACGTAGTTACCTACGTAGTTACCCACGTAGTTACCCACGTAGTTACCCACGCAGTTACCCACGTAGTTACCCACGTAGTTACCCACGTAGTTACCCACGTATTTACCCACGTAGTTACCCACGTGGTAAAGAGTGTGAGGCAGCTGCTCCATAGCCACTAATAGCAGTTTTATCTTAACATTGTCTCACATCTAGTCTTGCTCAATAACTACACGCCTGGTATTGAACAGTCTTGCTCAATAACTACACACCTGGTATTGAACAGTCTTGCTCAATAACTACACGCCTGGCATTGAACAGTCTTGCTTAATAACTACACACCTGGTATTGAACAGTCTTGCTCAATAACTACACACCTGGTATTGAACAGTCTTGCTCAATAACTACACGCCTGGCATTGAACAGTCTTGCTCAATAACTACACACCTGGTATTGAACAGTCTTGCTCAATAACTACACACCTGGTATTGAACAGTCTTGCTTAATAACTAACACGCCTGGCATTGAACAGTCTTGCTTAATAACTACACACCTGGCATTGAACAGTCTTGCTCAATAACTACACACCTGGTATTGAACAGTCTTGCTCAATAACTACACGCCTGGTATTGAACAGTCTTGCTCAATAACTACACGCCTGGTATTGAACAGTCTTGCTCAATAACTACACACCTGGCATTGAAGCTGGACTTGAAAACTCACTGTCAGAATATTATTACAACCACATGAAAAAAGTGTTAAAGTATAATGTTAAAGTAGCCACTGCCTGTAAAGTAATTAGAACGAGTAATCTTATATCAGCGCAACACGTAGGAATCGCACTTATACACTGTTATATATTATATGTTGCCTCTAAATTCGGGCCATTATTTTTATATTTGCCACCTTCAATACCGCCCCTCAGAAATGCTCGCTAATTTTTTCTCTCAGTTTATTCTTTTATTGATACAGGACTCATGTGCCATCTGTCGACTATTATATAGTATACACTTCAGTCACAGCTGCAAGTCCTTCACTTCCCACTCTCTGTTTCACTGTGTCTGCACGTGCTAGTCTACACGTGTGTTTTGCACGGGCGTTTTATGATTTTAGTTTGTTTGTTGGGTTGTGAGACTTTTTTTCACATAACAGAAAATTTCTGTGGGAAATTGTTAACTTCTTGGTGGTTTAACACTTAACTGCGTATATATATACTTTTAAATAACGGTTTAGCTTGCGAACTATTGCACCGTATACCACAGCAACAATCAATTACAGAACACGTGACAGAGCACGTGACACTAATTACAGAGCACGTGACTGAAATTATCATAATCTCTGGCACCACTTATACTGAGTAGTTGCTAGGGGGCTGGGTACAATTGTACCCACCAATAGGAACACCGCATTTACACCACATCACAATATTCTGCGTGGTTTAGTAGAAGTTGGACTCTGACGATAAGCGCATGGTGCTATATGTAATTATCGTCTTAATAATTTAACGGCTGATATAAGTGTCCCAAGGTTAAACTAGTACAAGGAGTAATAATTGCGAGTAATTATAAGTGATCATCTCACAGAGCGAGCTGGAGGTGCTCTATCATTAAAATCAGTATTAGCTATTGGCGTGTTAGCAATAGCTCTAGAAGTTTGGGGAAATTATCTTACCTTTTAAAAAAGTAAAATAAAAATAGTTAATTTTTTTATATCGTAAAAGTAAAATAATAAGTTTTTTTAAATGTTAGTATGTAACCCACGATAGCGTAATGTAACTATAGTCACGACACGAAGAAGACAGTACAAAAGTTATATTTACCGTTCTACCGCAGAATATATCATAAAGTTTTCTATAGTTCCATGAAATGTGTGTCCCACAAGCTAGCCATGGATTTAATTTCTTCCTCGTTGGTATAGCAGGTGATACCCATATAAGGAGTGCCCGCACGTGACTGCACGTTGTGTTTCGTGTAGAACTCACTACGACTAACTAAAGTGTTGTAGCTGAATTCTCCATTTTCCGAGGGTAACTTATCACTATTTAATCGCTCTGTGGGAGACTCTAATTACTGTGTTTATACACCGTACTCTGCACCGTACTCTGCACTGCACTGTTTGCGGTTGCATGACGTCGCTATTCTTTGCTTCATTTTACTGAGATCTTTCGGCTTTTGGCCTTTTTTTTTTTGAAGCTTGAATTGAGCTTGAATAAGGTTGCAACGTTTAACACGATCAGAATCATCACAGCGCGTGATACCCATATGAGGAGTGAAAGTTAACCAAACATTAGTTACAACGCTGTAGCTTTGTCACATAATTTAGTTACATTACTTTCATCTCTTTGTTTTGAAATCGACTTTCCTGTAACTTGGTAACTCATCTATAGGGACCGTTCACACATTCAATAGTACTATATTTACCTGGTAACCTGGTAACCTTTGCAATGGTTCGTACAAATTCGGCCTCATTCTGATCATACTGAATGGCACTGTGATTTTATTTACTGTTTATTTGTATATTTGTGTATTTTTATGTAACGTACACAAAAAAAAGAGTATTAAATATATCACTATATCAGCCTGTAGCCTGCATCATGTACACTGCTGCACTGTTTTAACCCGGGGGAAAAATACTGGATCAAGTCGTCTTCACTCTTCAATATTAAACACTGTCCTCTTCAATATTAAACACTGTCATCTTCAATATTAAACACTGGTGTATCCTTTTGAAGAGCTGAAGTTTGATCTGCTGCTATCACTTAATCACTTAATCACTTAATCACTTAATCACTTAATCACTTGATCAAAGCTAAAACACAAATCTGACTAAAACTTCATCGCTTCATCAACACAAAATTAAAAAATCAACACAAAAAACTAAAGATTTAATAATAGCATTGCTATCACGATGCTGAAACCTAAAATTTGCAAAGTTGATCAAAACGTAAGTAATACAAACAAAAATATTCAACCTCGTTACTTTATTACATATGTAGGAAGGAAAAACTTTTTGATTTAACCCCATTGAGTGCAAGTGGTATCTTTATAATAATACTTACATTTACAACCAGCCAAGAGTGACTGTAACATACTTACCCTCATTATTTAACAGGAGTAACTGTAACTGATAAGGAAGTGAAGACTGGAACAGAAACAACACTGACTTGTAGTTTAACTGAACTCACAGTAGAAGTAACTATTTCTTGGTGGGACGGAGAGTCTCAAATTAACGACGGAAACGGTAAAAGGACTTTTAGATTATTTCCTAGTTCGAATAAAAAGATGTTTGATTTTTTTCTGTTTTCTCAAATTCTCACGTTATGAATTTATAAACAATCAAACAATTCTAAAACGTTTATATTAGTGATTCCATTTGATTATAAATGGATGAAAATATCTTCTTAGCTTCGAATTACCACCTAGCTCCTGTAGAGTACCGGTCTGATCCAGGTAACATGGTAACATGGTAACCTAGTAACATGGTAACCTGGTAACCTAGTAACCTGGTAACCTGATAACCTGGTAACCTGGTAACCTGGTAACCTGGTAACCTGGTAACCTGGTAACCTGGTAACCTGGTAACCTGGTAATCTAGCAACCTGGTAACCGTAACCTGGTAACCTAGTAACCTATTATTGATATTCCCTTAGGATACGCTATAGCTCCAGTGGGGTTCCTGTCTGATCCAGGAACACAGGGATCTGAACTGACAGTAACCAGCCCGGTATCAGATAAGACGTACACTTGTAAAGTACACTACGATAATGCTGAAGTGTCTGTTAAACCTGTTAAACTCAATGTATACGGTGAGAAGTTTAAACATTTCAATATTAATTAAGAAGTTTAAACATGGTAACGTTTTCAATATTAATTAAGAAGTTTTAACATGGTAACGTTTTCAATATTAATTAAGAAGTTTAAACATGGTAACGTTTTCAATATTAATCGTAAAAACAGAAATTTCAATGATCATACATAAATAAGTATTTCTTTTAACGTGCAGCACAATTCTAAACTTCCCTGTTTTCAGATGTTACAATGGGTGGACGAGAAGTAGGTTCAGGGACCTCCGCTACTCTAACCTGTGTAATAACAGGAGTAACTGAAGCTCTAACTGTAACTTGGTTAAAGAGTAATGGAGAAGAGATCAGCACTGGAGGAGGATTTACTGTTAATCAGGGTAAGAATCAGCATTCAAAAATAAAGGTTAATATACTATTTGCTGTTTTATGACATCTTTTCCGAAACGGTCAACTTTTGCGGTCAACATGACTACCCACCTCAGGATCAGTAACTGAAGGGAATCAGGACGCAACGCTAGTAGTAGACTCTCAACACACCACACAAAACAGTGTCTACACATGTAGTGTCAAGTCTGCTACTACCGAGTCTGCTGAATCAGATGTTAGTGCTTCTGTGGAGGTCTTCGGTGAGTTGATGTGAATGTAATTCAGGCTTTATCAACGTGATAGTTGGCTAGATGCGTAATTGAATAGGTTGGTCGAAATGTTAAGTTAACTCAGTTATATTTTTCAGAGGTTGAATCAGTGAATAAAGAAGTGAAGAAAGGCTCTGATACAACAATATCCTGTGTTATCACTGGCATAACAGATACAGCAACAGTGACCTGGCGAACTAGTACAGGCCAAGTTTCAGGCGATAAGCTCGTCCCTACCGAAGGAAGTCATTCTGGAGGGACACAAACATCAACTCTTGCTGTAGACGGAACTCTTGTGAACGACGATACTGCCTACACTTGCAGAGTCACTTCCGGATCTTTGCCCGATTCCAGCTACTCGGACACCAACGTCAATCTAAACGTTTATGGTACGTTTTTCAATCAATGGTTTTACAGGATTACAAATATTCTGTGATATATCTTTATCTCTTTATCAACTTCGCATGTTTACATCACGATAAAGTAATTATAATTAAATACAAACTGGTGCTCATTTAACGTATTCAGATGTAGAAACTGTTAGCAAAGACGCCTACAAGGGAACAGGAACCACCCTAACCTGCAAAATAACCGGACTCTCAGCCACAGCCACTGTAACCTGGAGGAATAGGTCTGAGAACCTGTCAGAGGTAAATGAAGGGTCTTTAACAGGGGATACCCAGACTTCTACCCTAACAGTTAACAACCCACAACAAGATGAGATGTACACTTGTGTGGTTACTTCAGGACAATATTCTGCTTCTGCTTCTTCTTCTACTCTTGTAACTCTCAACACTTATTGTAAGTCTACTGTTTTCATATTTCCATTTAAATATACATTTCTCTTCCAATTATAATATACACAATTCATTGATAATCAGGATCATGCACACAAAAATAATATGTTAATACTTTACTGCGCTAATCACAATGCTGGCAAGCATTACCGTCGCCCTGTACACCTGTTATAATATAAATAAACAACTTTTAATTTTGATCAAGCAATTGTTTTCAGCGATCGACGTTGTAGGAAAAGAGAACCTCCGCGGAACAGAAACCACCATCACGTGCAAAGTTACTGAAATCAGTGAGCAACTATCCATCACCTGGTCCGGCTTCACAGCTGGAAGTAACTTCATTCCAAATGAAGGAGTATACGACACCACAACTAACAGTCAAACCGGAATATTGACTGTAAACTCTGGTGCAGTAACTGAGGATAGTGCCTATACCTGCACCGTCACTTCCAGAAGTTACACTGAATCTGCAGCTAAGTCTGTAGTAGTGTTGCTTAACGTTTATGGTAAATATCAGTGAAACTTTACTTTTTTAGTATCGAGTAGATACTTCTACTCTACTTTACCTGCACAACCATATAATTACAATGTGACTGGTCAAATACATGAGCCCCAGGTACAATTGCAATTAGGCTATTGATGGCTAAGGAAATAGATACCATACTTTTTTCGCTCGAGGCTTCGCTGCAATGTATCTAACTTATTAATAAGAACTGAGAAACATCAACTTTATAACCTGTCGTACCAGATATTGCGGTGCACAGTAAAGAAGTAACCATAGTAACCATAGTAACCTTAGTAACCATAGTAACCATAGTAACCATAGCAACTTTAGTAACCATAGTAACCATACCTCCCAGATATTGCGGTGCACAGTAAAGAAGTAGGAGCAGGAACCAGCACCACTCTGTCGTGTGTAGTGTCCGACATCACACAGGCTGTCTCAATAACCTGGCGCTCTGCTGGTAACCCTGGTAACCCTGGTAACCCTGGTAACCCTGTTACTAATGGAGATGGGATCACTGCTAACAGTGGAGAGTTAGTGTCTACCTCGCAGACTGCTACTCTGGAGATAACCTCTCCTGATACTGACACAACTTATACTTGCGAGGTGAAATCCGGGGCTTTACAGAGCAGTGAATCAGCCTCCAAATCTGTTGATGTTTTCGTGTACAGTAAGTAAATATAATTTAATGCAAGAAATCTGTAGTGTAACAGTTTATTAACTCAAAAAACTAAACCTACATACCTTTGTGGACAATGAATAAATAATTTTCAATATTACATTATTCAATATGGAATGTAATGTTTTTTTTCTTTAAGAATGTCTACTTTAACAGCCAAAACTACGCTAAGAAACCACAATATAATTGAAACCCGTTCTGAAGTATACTATTCTGCAGGTGTTCTGAAAGGAGAAGTAGAAGTTAAGGTTGGTAGTCCAGCAACTATAACCTGCACTATAACTAACATAGCCTCTGTAAATGGAGTCACTGTAACTTGGAAGGAAGGTGAACAAACACTGACAGACAACTCAGAGACAACTTCTGTCAGCAACAAGCAGCAAGTATCAAGGTTAACAGTACAAACTCCACAAACGGACACAGTCTACACGTGCATCATCAGCTCCACAGCCTACCCAGAGTCCCAACCGTATTCCCAATTCGTCAACCTTAACGTTTTTGGTAAGACAGTATTACCATGGTAAATTTATCTACCATCGTATAATGCATAATTTTATTCAGACTGTTACAATAACACCTTCGGATCATCAATTGTTCTTTATTTCATGATTTTAAACTATTTTTGCACTGTTTATCCCCAGATGTTGCGGCTAAAGATGTTGAAGTAAAATCAGGAACCAACACAGAGATCTCGTGTATTATAAGTGGTCTAACCACTGCAGTGAGCTCAGTCACCTGGCTGCTTGGCAACACGCCAGTAAATGAAGGTGGTGCCCTCTCCTCTCTGTCTGCAGACTCACAGACTGCTACCCTCCTGGTGCAGGGCAGTCACGTGACAAGTGACCAGGATTATGTGTGCAGGGTTGTTTCAGGGGAGTATATCCAGTCCCCACACCAGGACACTATAGTCAAGCTCAGTGTTTATGGTGAGGGTTTAAAAAACATTCTGCACAGTTTGCCTTTAATTAACTGATTTTTGAACTTTGAAGTTTTTGAAGTTGTTTTAATTTTACATTGGTCGGATACTCTGAGAAAGTAAGAATAATCAATAGTTATGTATTTGCAGAGGTAGAGCCGATACACAAAGACGCCTACAAGGGAACAGGAACCACCCTGACTTGCGAGATAACAGTACTATCAGCCACAGCTACTGTCACGTGGATGAAGGGAGTAGAAACTGTAGCAGGGTCAGTAGAAGGGGATCTGAACACTGACACTCAGATCTCTACCCTGACCGTATTAAATCCTGGAGAAGATGCTGTGTATACCTGTGTAGTGACTTCAGGAGAGTTTGAGCAGTCCCCTGCCTCACAAACCCTGGTGTCTCTCAACGTGTATTGTAAGTATTTTTAAACAGCGGTTTGGGGTTCTAGGAATTTGATCTGATCGTGTTGTTCCCTTTTTTACCATTTCATTTTATCACAGCTGCAAATATTTTAAAAATTTTTAAAATATTCTCTATTTTAACCAATTTACATTTTTATTTATTGCTTTTCTTAGTAAGTAATTTCGGCAGCTATTGATGTGTTCGACAAAGAGGTGCAGATGGGAACTGAAACCACCATATCATGCAAAATAACAGAAATAAGCAAAGAGATGAAAATATCCTGGTCTGGTATCTCTGATGGAGGTAACTACGTGGAAACACCAGGATCCTACGATGATGAGACCAACAGTCAAACTGGGACACTTACTGTAAAGTCAGCTGCTGTGACAGAAGATAAAACATACACTTGTACTGTATCCTCCGTAGACAACCCTACCTCGGATCAAAAACCTTTAGATGTCAAACTAGAAGTTTACAGTAAGTAACATGCCCATATAAGGGTGTCACGTGAGTAAGCAAACAATAGCTCAATTAGACAATATATTATATGTTTTTGATGAAAAATCTATGGCGAAAAACAAATGCTTTAAACATAAATCATCATTTAATTCGTAATTACACAGATTATTAAATTTAATGAATTATTTTAATCGAATCACCCCCTTAACAGCTGTTATTTCAGCTATCACCCTGCCTGAGATAGAAGCCAAATCAGGAACAGATGTTGTATTTACATGTACTGTGGCAGATTTAACTGCATCTGTGATAATCACGTGGTTCAAGGTCAGTCTCAAGCAAAACATATTCCTTTAACAAAATACATACTTCATGATAGCTTTTCATCCAAGTTAAACCAATTGAGCAATTGTAGTTTCTGTAAAGATTGATATTTTAACAGGAAGAGCAAGCTCTCTCCGAAGGAGTAGAAACAAAGTCCCTGTCAGGCAGCAAGCAAACCTCAGAACTGACAGTAACTGCAGTTACTCGGGGCACTACATCCTACAGCTGCCGTGTAAAGTCCACACAGTTCCCTGAATCTGGAGAGGGAAGTGTGATATCTCAACTTAAAGTATTTGGTGAGTTGTTTGAACACAAAACGGAACAAATATCACATCAACTAAAACATAAAGCACATCAACTGAAACATAAAGCACATCAACTGAAACATAAAGCACATCAACTAAAACATAAAGCACATCAACTGAAACATAAAGCACATCAACTGAAGCACATCAACTGAAACTAAAGCACATCAAAAGCACATCAACTAAAATATAAAGCACATCAACTGAAACATAAAGCACATCAACTAAAATATAAAGCACATCAACTGAAACATAAAGCACATCAACTAAATTATAAAGCACATCAACTGAAACATAAAGCACATCAACTAAAATATAAAGCACATCAACTGAAAGATAAAGCACATCAACTAAAACATAAAGCACCTCAACTAAAACATAAATCACATCAACTGAAACATAAAGCACATCAACTGAAAGTTATTTTAACCCATATTGCACATCTCTCAGGCTTAGTGACGGAGGGTGACGAAGTCCCTATTAAAACAGCTGCCTCCATCACATGTACAGCCACGGGAGTGTCAGAAGACTCGTCTATATCTTGGTTTGATCAGGACACTAAACTTATTGACGGTGAGTTTAAAAATAAAACTTTAAGCACAGATTGTATAGTACAATATCTTTTTCGAGTAGAGTTCTTTACACCGTTAATAACGTATTGATAACAAACCACCTAGATGACCAATACACGATGTTTCAAAGCGAATGGACTAACAATGAACTTGTTGTTACACTTAACATAGCCGCTTCCTCTGTCACTGAGGATAAGGTGTTCACATGTGTTGTTTCGGCTTCTGGACAGGCTGATCAAAAAGAGATCGGACAGCTCAATACATATGGTAATTCAGACAAATATTACCACGAGTAATTTCAACATGGTTACTTTTTGTAGCATTTTATTTTTGCAGCATGTTGTCCAAACGATACCTTTCATTTTGGAAACTTATATATCTTACTGTCCTCTTACCCACTTTAGAGATAAGCAGTATCAGTCACGATGTAGCAGCAGGACACCCCTCAACCCTGACATGCTCTGTATCTGGAGTCTCCGCTAACGACATTGACCTGATGTGGCTGGATAGTAACGGGGTCCAGTATAGAGACCCTACTAATAATGAGAACTACGTTGTGGTGTGAGTATCTTTTATATTGTTATTGGCTCATATATAATTTTGGCAAACATTCTACTTGGCAGCTATTTTTCATTGATGAAATGATTTAACTAACTAGTCGCAGTTTTCACTGTCGGTACGTTTCAGAGAAGGGGAACTAAAAGGAGGATCGCAAGTTTCTTCCCTAACACTGTCCGGAGATGTAACTACAAATCTTGATCAGACCTTCACTTGTCGGGTTACAGTAGGGGTACAAACTCAGCATGTAGATACTCAGATACCACTCAAGGTCTTCAGTGTCAGGTAACATTTATACTGATGAAGTATGTAAACTAGATAGTAGATATGACATGCTGGTAATCCACTTCAACATCAAATAGATAATATTCTTCTTGACATTTCAGATAGTAACTCAAGTTTGATGCTTAAGTTGTTACTTGATTATTTGGTTTACATGAGCATACCCACAGCATAATATACCCACAACCCATTGACTAAACATCTCACTTACAATCTTCAGAACGGAGGGAGACGCGGTGCAGTCAGGCAAATCTGCCACTCTAACCTGCTCAGTAATAAACCCTACAGACACACTTACTGTGGCTTGGTACAACACCAACCAACTTCTTACAGGTACCGCCAATTTTACAAACCAAGAGATTAAATTAAATGTTATTCTGACACATTTGAGTATCAATGTCAAGGTTATTTTACTTTAAGTTTAACTTGTTTCAGATACACAAAAGAACACTGTAGCCGACCTGACCACTGTCACAGAGTTAATCCTGCCATCTCAAGTAGAAGACTCTATCTACACGTGCAAGGTATCTGGGAACGAAGAATACTCCTTCTTTGCTAGCGTCGAGATCAACGGTAAGTAAAACTGCACAACAAGAGTTATACTACTGTTGATATCAACGGTAAGTAAAACTGTACAACAAGAGTTACACTACTGTTGATATCAACGGTAAGTAAAACTGTACAACAAGAGTTACACTACTGTTGAGATCTATGAAAATAATTATAGGGGGCCTTAAGGTGTTTCCATTCGATACGCTGGGAAGCTTTCATTGAAACATAATATATCCTCAGACCTTTCTCTGAAGTCTGAAGCTGGTAGCCGAGTATTTACCGGAACAGTGCTGACTCTAACATGCAGCTTCATCCCAACCACTATCAGCGAGGGAGCGTTCTCTTGGATCTTCAGCGATCAGTCTTGTTTAACAACGGCTTGCAGGTTTATTAAAATACCCTCAATACTAAAAATATAAACTCTAGCTCTCCTCTTTCTCTGGGACTCGTCAGGTAGTCAGGTAAAATTCCTGGTATAAGATCCTCATTTAATGAGTTCCTAGCTGTTAAAAAGTCTTTAAAAATATTCTATTGTAGTTAATCTCACAATGTTTCAGCAACCCAGCCAATACTCCCAAGACTTCAAAGTTAACTCTAACAGTTGATAGCAGTAATGCTGGAAACTACAGATGCTACTTCACCAAGAAAAATGGCGGTAAGTGATTTTGGAACTGTTTCAATTTGTAAAAGAACGGATTACCGCATCAATAGGTATCATTTTATAAATAATAACTAGTGTAACCCGGCCTTCGGCCGGGATTTCACTGCCGCAGTTAAAAAGAGTACAAGTATTTACCCGTTGAGTGCCCTCACGTATCCAATGGTATCTTAACCCATATAATACCAACAACTCTAAACGTTCGAATTTTTTGATGAAATTTTGTTTCCTAAGCACTGAGGTACCAACTCCGACGGTGCAATAATTATTTTGAAAAAAATTTATATTTTTTATAGCTTTTTCGACCCGTACTTTTAAAAGTTCATTGTTGGAGCTTGCGTTTTTGGAACATTGCATCGTACTTTTAAAAGTACATCATATTTGAATGATGTACTTTTAAAAGCACGGGTTTAATAAATAATGTACTTTTAAAAGTACGGGTTTAATGAATAGTGTACTTCTGGAGGTACGTTACTTAATTAAACAGAAACTCAGGGTCAGATAATAAAACTAAAAGCCCTTGTCAGAATGGCTGAATAAAATTTAAACAATATCATACAAAATTTTTAAGTGGTACACTAAACAAATCATGATGGTGGGAACAGCTATACTTATAAACTACTATCATAATTCCATTTACCAATTTACTAGAATTTTACGAAAATTTTCAGGTTTTGTGCTTTTTACTCTAACTGATGATAAGGCTTAAAACAAAGCACACAAAGTGCAACGTCACACACTTCGCACTTAGCCAGACGCTTTTCACAACTTAAAGAATACCTAAAATGGTGAGAATGAGAAGAGAGTAGCAGAAGCTGAGAAAGTTCTAGAGGAACAGAAGAGAGTAGCAGAAGCTGAGAGAGTTCTAGAGGAGCAGAAGAGAGTAGCAGAAGCTGAGCGTATTCTAGAGGAGCAGAAGAGAGTAGCAGAAGCTGAGAGAGTTCTAGAGGAGCATAAGAGAGCAGTAGAAGCTGAGAGAGTTCTAGAGGAGCAGAAGAAGGTAGCAGAAGCTGAGCGTATTCTAGAGGAACAGAAGAGAGTAGCAGAAGCTGAGCGTATTCTAGAGGAACAGAAGAGAGTAGCAGAAGCTGAGAGAGTAAGAGAGTTCTAGAGGAGCAGAAGAAGGTAGCAGAAGCTGAGCCAGACGCTTTTCACAACTTAAAGAATACCTATAATGGTGAGAATGAGAAGAGAGTAGCAGAAGCTGAGCGTATTCTAGAGGAACAGAAGAGAGTAGCAGAAGCTGAGAGAGTTCTAGAGGAGCAGAAGAGAGTAGCAGAAGCTGAGCGTATTCTAGAGGAGCAGAAGAGAGTAGCAGAAGCTGAGAGAGTTCTAGAGGAGCGTAAGAGAGTAGTAGAAGCTGAGAGAGTTCTAGAGGAGCAGAAGAGAGTAGCAGAAGCTGAGCGTATTCTAGAGGAGCAGAAGAGAGTAGCAGAAGCTGAGAGAGTTCTAGAGGAGCGTAAGAGAGTAGTAGAAGCTGAGAGAGTTCTAGAGGAGCAGAAGAAGGTAGCAGAAGCTGAGCGTATTCTAGAGGAACAGAAGAGAGTAGCAGAAGCTGAGCGTATTCTAGAGGAACAGAAGAGAGTAGCAAAAGCTGAGAGAGTTCTAGAGGAACAGAAGAGAGTAGCAGAAGCTGAGAAAGTTCTAGAGGAGCAGGAGAGAGTAGCAGAAGCTGAGAGAGTTCTAGAGGAACAGAAGAGAGTAGCAGAAGCTAAGGGAGTTCTAGAGGAACAGAAGAGAGTAGCAGAGGTTGAGAGAGTTCTAGAAGAAACGAAAATAGTAGCAGAAGCTGAGAGAGTTCTAGAGGAACAGAAGAGAGTAGCAGAAGCTGAGAAAGTTCTAGAGGAGCAGGAGAGAGTAGCAGAAGCTGAGAGAGTTCTAGAGGAACAGAAGAGAGTAGCAGAGGTTGAGAGAGTTCTAGAGGAAACGAAAATAGTAGCAGAAGCTGAGAGAGTTCTAGAGGAACAGAAGAGAGTAGCAGAAGCTGAGAAAGTTCTAGAGGAGCAGGAGAGAGTAGCAGAAGCTGAGAGGGTTCTAGAGGAACAGAAGAGAGTAGCAGAGGCTGAGACAATTCTAGAGGAGCAGAACAACTCAGCTGAGGAAATGCATAGACTACTTGAAGGAAAGGAATCTTATGTTGGAACAGCAGATTGCTGATGGCACACAATCATGTCAGTATTTAATAGTAAACATACATCGGGATTAGGAAACCAGTTACAAGATCTAGGATTGTAAACATTAAGCGGGGGAGGAGGGATCAGGTACCAAGTGCCGTACGTGACGTCGACTAGGTGCAACTTTGGAATTTACAAAAAAGACCCACCCACCCCCTTCGCGGTACTAACTGTTTTTTTTTCGGATAATATTTAGGACACCCACCCCTTTTGCGGTACTAACTGTTGAGAAATCACGGTACTGACTATGTCTTGGTATATAAAATAAGATACCCACCCATAAATTGCTTTAAACAGCTCATTAAACATTGGGAAATGGGCAAATTATACCCACTATTTAATAGGGGTTTTGTTTTCAATGCAGTCGAATTAAATAAAAAGTTACAAAAAAAGGAAACAAAATAAAAAACCCAAAAAAAGGAAAAAAAACCTCAAAACCCAAAAAAAAACATTCCCAATATTGAAATTTGAGGTAAAATGGATTTTTTGGGGTTGGACACCCCCTTAGTACCTTGTACTAACTGATTTTCTGGGAAATGAGCAGCAGACCCACCACTTAGTACAAATGTACTAACTGTGTTTTGGAAGAAAATATGACCCACCCCCCCCCCCCCCAACGTCACGTACGATTCTGACCTTATGATCCCCCCCCCCCCCCCACCCCCGCATTAACTCATTAAGAAAGAGTATATTAAAAGCCACTCTGGAAGACGTGGAATAACCGAGTGAAAACGTGGATCCCTCAAGATCGACTAAATCCCAGAAGTAACAACAAAAAGTTTTTGTTGTGACTTCCGTTCTGATTCAGAACAATTTACCTACCATTACAGTCTTATCGACATTAATCATGCCAGCACACATTGTGTAGTCTATATAAACCTGTCTATATAAACCTGTACATCATTCGAAGATAATGCACTTTTAAAAGTACGTACTTTTAAAAGTACATCATTGTCTAGAATGATGTACTTTTAAAAGTACACCCAATTTACATCTCAATTAGAGACAATTTATGATTTTTATGTCACCCCACATTATTGCATATTTATTGCACAATCGTTTAGGCAATATTAAAAAACCAAATTTGGGATCCATCAAAGTTGGAGAATTGGCTGGTGGTACCGAGAATTTACCTTTTTTCAAAGTACCATTTTTGACCACCTTTGCCAACATCCTATAAATTTCTTGCTTTTTTTAACCATCTGGTCAGGGTGTTAAAATCATCAGCAGACCTTTTCTAACCTAATGCAAAAAACTGTATCAAAAAATATTTGTCATGAGACAAGTTAGGTCACTGTTTATGAACCGTACTTTTAAAAGTACCGTGGAAGAATATGGGTTAAACAATAGTATCTTAAACAATTATAATCAATAGAAATTAACTCTTAACACCACACCCGCCTATCATATTTGTGAACATGCATGATATTGCATTACATTGTCGTATGAAAGTACGAACTCTCTCTACAGTCCAAACAGACCGCTATGAGCTCTCCCTCCCCAAATAAGTTTATAGTATTACATGACTGTGTAATATATACCAATGCTACATAATATGCAGTAATGGGACAGCGAGCGAGGAGGGAGAAAATGTGAGCCTTTTTTTGCAACATTTGTGGTACAAAACCATCACTTAAACAGTAAACTACTTACTACCGACCGATTTAAAAAACCTTTACCATTTGGCTTCGTCAGAGTTTTCTCGGCACTATACCGATAAAACCAGCCCCGTAACTCTTATCGTTTTCTTGATTAAACCGCTCGGAAATTACACACGCACACACACACATTCTGAGATTATTGTTGAAGATTATTTGTATGATCCTGTAATGAACTCACTTCAGACAAGGATATACGTAGTAACGAAGTAAGAGTGTCAGCAGTGAGTCTGACAGGAAGTGTTACCTCTGACTCAGTGTGGGGGCTGGTGGGCAGTGGGAGTAGTGTTACTTGTGTAGTTCCTAATGGTCTAACAGACATTGAACTAACTAGTATTAGGTCAGTTTCTTGCCATATTTGTTAGAAAACTCCTCATTTTCTTGCATACTGCAGAATATATTTTGGGAATAAATTGTTATTAATTTCTGGCCGTTTTGGATTCCAATGAATCTCAATAACTATAGACTCTCTCAGGTGGACACTAGATGACAATGCAATCAGTGGAGAAGGGATTGGATACAATAAAAACAGTGAGGTAGTGCAATTCACAGTTTCAGACGCGGTTTCAACAGACACTGATAAGACCTCAGTCCTCTCCTTCACACACTCCCTCGCTGCAGTAGGCACTCTACAGTGCATAGCAGCTTATCATCCAGGTCTGTTTTCACATTAACATTGATAAGAGTTTGCTCTATTTTCTTAATGGGAGGTGACTGCTTCACAACTTCTCCCTTACTAATAACAAGTGAAGATGAAGGTTATCACAAATAACATAAACTAAACCCTTACAGAGCGGAACATTATAATACCGAGCACACATATCGACGTAATGACACTTAACTCTGATGTGGACACTATCATCCTTACACCTTCCCACGAAGCTGAAGTTACTTTTACCACCCAGTCTAATTCCAGACCAACAACTCTACCCAACATGCCATCTGTATGTCTTCTTAAAGTTCTTTCATCATTATGCTGAGGATTAATAGTAATACCTATAAATGACAAGTTTTATTGATACAAAAGAATCACTAATTTATTAATTCTCCCACAAACCAGGGAACTGCTAAATCAGTATCTACGAAGGAAGTTGACCTCTCTGATAGCGACGGTATCCTATTCACTGAAGTTGTCAAATTTTCAAGGTAGGTTATATATCTTCACTGATTTGGAATTTTTTTAAATTGAGTCTTTATTGATGTTCATGTGAGAACAACCCGATTTACGGTTTGGGCAAAGGGAAATAGTACGGTAAATTAGGGTGCGACGAATTGGGGTTTATTGTAGTACATGTTCTCATTGCAGGTTAAGTTTGTATCCATTACATTTCAGCACGTCGTCAGAAGTAACAAGTGAAGAGCAACTCTCCAAAAAAGAATACTCTTTTACTTACACAGTTAATGCTGGCTCTGCTTCAGAAATAGTGAAAACTGGAACAGCGTTTTTAATAGGTAAAACAATACTTGAACAACTGCAAATCTTCGCACTTTTTAAATTTAATGAGGCGATTTTAAAATTTTAATATATTTGTTAAACGCACACACTTTGTCAGGTGAAACATTTGTTAAAAGTACAGAATGGGCTACTATTGGGGACCGGACCACACTTTCTGCCTCCTTCACAACCTCCGATATAGCGAGTGTTTCTGTAGTCTGGCAACAGGAGAGTGAGTATACTAAGCAAGTGTTAATTTCATAATGTTTTAAGAGTTTACAGCGTGCTTATTTTGTGTTAAGAAAACATCATGGATCTGAAGGCTAAATAAAATTGGATTTGTTTCTCCCAGACACGGCTGATAGCTCATGGAAAGACATTGCATCTGAAGGTTACACTACCATACTATCGGAGATGAATGATGAAGGAGTAATGTCAACTATTCTTTTAATAGATAAGACGCGGGAATCAGATGCTACAGGTATATTCTCTTGATGAAATCTTAAAGTTTATCTCAGCTGTACCTAAATTATTTTAATTCTGCTTAAGTCTGCCTTCATCAAAGTTTAAGTTTATCTTGGTTTCATGGTTTGTCTTCACAGGTTACAGAACGCAGATCCAGATCGCTAGTTTGAAGGAAACAATTGCTGAAGTCCAGCTGAAGGCTGTCACTGCTAACATGGCAGATGTCACACCTGTTTTTGAAAGAGACACAGTCACGTTCAGTGTGACGGTAGAAGGACCAGACAAACCGAGCAGTGTACTTTTAGTTCACCAAGGTAAGCTTTACATTGATCATCACCCCTACTCTTAATATATGAAGTAACTATCTTTTAACGTGATGGCGGGAAAAAGCCGAGATGTTTCAGTGACTTCAACGCAGCGGGGCTTCTTAAAATATAATTTGCACGAGATCATTAATTATTTTACATGTCCTCTGATTGCTAACTCGTTCCCAGAGAGTGGTAAGGAAGAACAAGTTGCTCTGAACAGTGTTTCCTCGTCCAGTCCCTTTCAAATAACTCATGAGATGAGGGAAGTATGCTCCAGTGAAAGTGGATTCTACTATTTCAAGTAAGATAACTTTAGATAACCTAACTAAAATCATCTGTTGTGCAAATCATTATGATTATTAAATGTTGTAAAAGAGTTTAACAAGTTGCTCCTGTGTTGCTATGGTTACATAACTCTTCAGAGTGATATTTGAGTCGGGACTTGAGTACGAAACTACTAAAGTTGAGCTAACAGTAAAGCTGAAGTGCAAACCACTCACTACCCCACCCAACACAGAATTACAGGAGGTGAGCGAGCAGTTTACGGTTTACAGCACAATCTTTACTCTCAGTAGAAACTTTACATGTTTAAATTAGTTATGACATTACAAATCTATTGCATTTATTTAGCTTTGTGTAAATAGGGTCAATACACATGATAAGATCGTAATTTTGAGGTAGTAAATATTTGTTGTAATAATTTTTTCAATGAAAATGTAATCGTTCCAAAAAATTGCGATGTGAATCTTACTATATAAAGCGAGACGATACATATCTGTGCCATTTTACTGACACCACGGCATCAACTTAAACGCGATTTTCCGAAAAAAAAACCGTAAAAGATGTACAACTGAAACTTTTATGACTGGGTCAATTGTCAAATGCTTTAATGGCCTCCAAGTCAGCATGAAAAAATAAAAAATTGGCCAAGGAATAATGATTTTAGAGCCGAAAATTTGGACCCCCAAGTGGTGTCAAAAACGACAATTAAATATGTAATAATTATTTTAGTATCTTGAGTCTTGACACCGTTTAGGGTTATATTAAACGGGTTCCTGCTAGTTAAAATAACGAAAGATGCAACTCAAAATTCAGAAATATTCTATTTTTCTTTTTTTCAGGAGGAAATCAGCGATTCAAACAACTACAGAATATTCGTGACTTGCAGCGAATCTTCATATGTGGTAATGGATGAGAGCCTTAAAGAAGTGATATGTGATACTTCTACAGGCACATATAATAAAACAATACTCACTCCTTGCTTGAGAACCATTCCACAGAATTAGGCCGCCATTTGTTTTTAGATTTAGATAAGCATACCAATAATTGATTTGAAGACTTATTTTCTTTGATGCACTTTTCAAAACGCATCTTATTTTTCTATATTTAATGTCATTTGTATTTATTTTGCGATAAACAATTTTTATGTTTATAATTTATTTGATTATGCGTTAAAAATAAAACTTACGCGAGGCTGATTTCAATTTTGAATTCAAGTCATTTAGTAATAGTAATTTTTCAACTTTCAAATAGAATTTTAGTATAAAATTACATGTCTTAGTTTAAATGTGTAAAGATTTCATGTTTCTATTTGATGTTACAATTATAAACTCAACAACTGTTTCATTCAAATCGTGAGAATATGTTTGAAAATATTTATGACACAATATTTTTCTGAAAAAGATTCTTCGAGATTGTTCTAAAAGGCAAAGCCCCCCCCCCCCCCCCCCCCCCCCCCCCCCCCCCCCCCCCCCCCGACAGTTGAAAACAACTTGAATCGATTTATTTTCGAACGCTGATTCCAAATCACCCCCCCTGACGGCCTGATATAGGGTAAACTTGTATTACGTCGTGACCCCCATGCATTGTCGTTTCACTAAGTATTTTCACCTGTAGTAGGCTGTAGCGTTTCTACGATACAGGGGGAGCCGTGCACTCGTGCGCGGCGGGTCATACAATTACAACGTATGATGTATGATATTGATAAGGGTAAACATGCTACCCTCAGATATTGGTGAAAAACTGTCTCGATCACGTGATATGACCGTATACAGTATAAGATTTAGAGTAATTAAGGAAGTTAGTCTAATTTCTCGTCAGGGTCAGAGTTTCCGTTTACATGCTTCACTTTACTTTTTTAAATTTCTTCGAAGTCTAGTACTAGTAGCGCGCGCCGCTTTCTTCTCGAAATTTTATTAGCCCAATTAAGGCAAGTGCTACGCGCAAAGTAGTGCTCGCCGAGCTAATCCATGAACAATGCGAGCGTCCTAAATCACTCTACAGTCAATTTTTGAGATTGTTCTAAAAGAGGCAAGGGCCCCCGACAGTTTTGCTCTATCCAGAGCCCTTGCGCTTGCAATAGCGCGCGCCCGCCTCACGGCGGAAAAAAGGGCGCTAGCCATCAACCCACCCAACGATTTTGGCACCACTCTACAGTGGTGCCAAAATTACCCGCGCTTTTGTCCTCATATGCGACGTGTGTAGCCTTTCAGACATGAAGAGTCGTACGTCACCTCAAGATCGGGTGACAGGGGGCTGACCATGCCCAAACCTAATTGATCATTGATTGGGTCTGAGGTCACGTGATTATGAGCCTATGAGGTCACGTGACTATGACGTCACCAGACCTTGTCCTCCGTTTCCCGCTCATTGGACCAGGTGAGCTTGCATGCTTGTGAATGTAGGTGTAAGCACAGCTGTACTGTAGTTTATACCTAATTAACCCCTATACACTGTCACTATGCACTATAGAAACCTGAAAAGTGGTTACTGCATACTGGAGGGAGAAGTGCCAAGACTACCTGCGCTACATAGACGCTGTTGTCAGCACTGCGCACGCGCGCACGAACCTTCCCATCGGGGTTCGTGGATAGGTGCTTAATTTCTTGACTTGTGAAACAAGCGCGCCCGAAGCGGCACGAAAGCACATGGTTAGGTGAACCGACAGTTGAAACCAACTTCGATCGACGTATTTTCGAACGCTGATTCGGAATGACCCCCGGCCCATGACATAGGAGTGACTAAAATGCTCCCCTGACGAGATATTGGCGAAAAACTGTCTCGATCACGTGATATGACTAGGCCGGCCGTGCGCCATCGACCGTAAAACGCGCGTGCTGACCATTGAATGGTTTTTTAGCTCGTATTTCGGCCAGCACATTATTTCGGAAACAATCAAAAAGTCATAATACTTCCCATATAACAATTTTGTTGAAATTTGGTACGGTCAGCTTACGTAAACACCTATATGCTTTATTAAACTTAAATTAGTTTGAGTAATTTCGATGGTCAGAATTAACACAGGAGGGGCTAAGTGCAAAGAAACTGCTGCTAACTGCTGCTCACTACTGCTCACTGCTGCTCACTGCTGCTCAATGCTACTAACTGCTGCTCACTGCTGCTCACTGCTGCTCACTGCTACTAACTGCTGCTCACTGCTGCTCACTGCTGCTCACTGCTACTAACTGCTGCTCACTGCTGCTCACTGCTGCTATGGGCGCGCGCGCGACAGCAGCAGTGAGCAGCAGTTAGTAGCAGTGAGCAGCAGTGAGCAGCAGTGAGCAGCAGTTAGTAGCAGTGAGCAGCGGTGAGCAGCAGTTAGCAGCAGTGAGCAGCAGTTTTTTTGCACTTAGCCCCTCCTGTGAGAATTTGAGTTATCAATGAATGTATACCTATTTTGTTATTTTTAGACCTCTTAATCAAGGCCAATCTCTCCAAACTAATTTACCCAGCAGAGCTTACCGGCTAGCCGTGTTACTAGAGGTGGTCGTTTTTCAATAGCACGTGTGTCAGCGCGCGCGACGTCATGTTCACTGCATGATCGCTCGCGTGAATTACAATCTGGAGTCATACTAGCAACAACACTATTTTGCAAAGTTAAAAAGCTGCAATGTTTAATTTGGCTCAAAAATCCGAAGTTAGGCCCCTAACGGTAAGGTTTCCTGGCGGGTATGCTTTTTTCAGGGATTGGGTTAGGGTTAGGGTTAAAATCAAATAAGAGGGTTAGGGTTTCGAATAGTCGTTCAGGGCCAGCTAGAGAATGGTTTGAAAAAATCACGTGTCAGTCGATCGAGTGTAGAGTGATTATATAATAGCTGGGCGGCGCTCAGCCTGTCATTCCGCCGAATCTTTATGAAGGCCGCTAAGAAAAATAAAAGGTATACAATTACAACGTGTAGTGCAAATAAACATTTAAATTTTAACGCGCGATGAATAATGAGTCACAAATTTGTGTGATGAGGTTCAAAGCAAAAAAATGTAGTTATAATAGGAACCATGATGAGACTGGTTTGAAATGAATGATGATTTGATCGAAATTATTGCAGGTTGATCTTACCTGGGCAGGCTATCATGTTCATAAACATATAGACTTAGAGATTTGGCGGAATGACAGGCTGATCGCCGAAATTCGGTAAAAACCCAAAATCGCCATATTCAGGTGCCTTACAAACTTAAAATTGAGTTAGAGATCTGAAATGGTGCAGAGCGTTTAGATGTTGACCAAATCAACTGCAAAAAAAGTTTCAAGTTTCAAGAGTATCGGTTAGTGCTTTTTTTTGTAGACCCCTTGACAAATTATTGTTTTTTTCGATATTACCAGTACTTAATACAAGCAGCCGAGCCCCACGAAAAACCTCACAGAACCTCCACGCGGTGTGGGGTGGGTGGCTCGAACGGGAGGTGCATGGGTGTTTCTAACCTATGCAAAGGAAGGGACTGGCCATCTCTACAACAAGGAAAGGCTCTAATAGCCTCTACTAACCTTAGAACCGCAGCATAACCGCTTTGCCCACAGGCAAATAACACCTTCCGCAGGAAACTAACAGTTAACACGCTCACAGGCCCCCACATGACGTGTAACCCCAGGATTTGGTTTTGGATCGGACACTGAAAACAACGATAGAGGAGCGGTCTACACGCTCACAGGCTACCATGTCTCGTGTAACCCCAGGATTTGACACGTTCACAGGCTACCATGTCTCGTGTAACCCCAGGATTTAGCACGCTCACAGACTACCACGTCTCGTGTAACCCTAGGACTCACTTAACAGACTCTAACACGCTCACAGGCTTCCACGTCTCGTGTACCCTAGGATTTGGTTTTGGATCGGACACTCAAAACAACGATAGAGGAGCGGTCTACACGCTCACAGGCTACCATGTCTCGTGTAACCCCAGGATTTTACACGTTCACAGGCTACCACGCCTCGTGTACCCTATGATTTTGTTTTGGATCGGACACTCAAAACAATGATAGAGGAGCGGTCTACACGCTCACAGACTACCACGTCTCGTGTAACCCCAGGATTTAACACGCTCACAGGCTACCAAGTCTCGTGTAACCTTAGGATTTAGCACGCTCACAGGCTACCACGTCTCGTGTAACCCTAGGACTCTAACACTTAACAGACTCTAACACGCTCACAGGCTTCCACGTCTCGTGTACCCTAGGATTTGGTTTTGCATCGGACAATCTAAACAACGATAGAGGAGCGGACTACACGCTCACAGGCTACCATGTCTCGTGTAACCCCAGGATTTTACAAGTTCAAAGGCTACCACGCCTCATGTACCCTAGGATTTGGTTTTGGATCGGACACTCAAAACAATGATAGAGGAGCGGTCTACACGCTCACAGGCTACCATGTCTCGTGTAACCCTAGGATTTAACACGCTCACAGGCTACGACGTCTCGTGTAGCCCTAGGACTCTAACATTTAACAGACTCTAACACGCTCACAAGCTTCCACGTCTCGGTACCCTAGGATTTGGTCTTTGGATCGGACACTCAAAACAACGACAGAGGAGTGGTCTACAGTGACGTTACAGGAACATTGCATACTCCTACGAGTTGCATGTAGCAGGCCATGACCGTCCCTGGAAGTCCCTGTCTCCTCATCGTTAACCCGTAAGGGGTTGCACCAGGGGCGTTGGTAACAGAACTTCAAGACTCTCGGAGTCTGTTGTCGATATCTATGTATAATATAATTATGGTATATAACTTGGGAGTCTCTCTCTCTAGCAGCAGGAGTTGGAGAATGGGGACGCGTTGTGAAAGCCACCGCAAGGAAGGCTTACAGTCGACGCCGACCAATCAAAAGAAGACAAGCAGCCGAGTCATGAAGGCGCTGAGCTCAAGCTTTCCTCGCACCCAGAGTTGAATGCTGTTTTGTGATTGGTCATAGCAGGAGCACGTGGTAGTTTCGCGCGCTACTGCAAGCGAGAGGGCTCTGGTTAGAGAACGTGGTGGTATTAAGCCTTCTGATTGGTAAATCAGGATCTTTAATAATGCTAATGCATACTGCTTATTATTTATGCGCAAGCTATAAATGTATAATATAATATTAATACTAATAGATTGTTTGTGAATTTAGTCACCAATATCTCAATGATTTTATTAACCTTAAGATGCTAAGACATTAAGACAATGCAATCATTCCCAAACTTCTTGAACTGCAAATATTCGCAAAAACAATGGTATTCTATATCGTCATGTCAGTGCAGGCAGTTCCAACTTTCTCATTGCTACACGTTGTATACCTCTCCCTCTCCCTCTCCCTCTCCCTCTCCCTCTCCCTCTCCCTCTCCCTCTCCCTCTCCCTCTCCCTCTCCC